GTAGGCAACTCTCAACGCGCCAAGCGGTCTGAATCGGAGACTGGCAGTGGCAGGTCTGCGTGTCGCCATGGCTACAGGGCGTGTGTCTACGGCAGAAGTGGGCCGCTTTTTTGTCATGCCTAGTGTGCAGGTTGGCCAACTGGTTAACGAGGCCGCCTCGTGCGGTAGGACACCGTTTTCACGATGCCATGGCAGCTCGGACGTGGCAACAGTGCTCAAATCCATTTCTTGGTCGGTCTCACTTTCAACGCCTGAAGAGCCGAATGCAGGCCTCGATCCCTCCCGTTCCACGATCTCAGCTCGTCTCCCAGACGCCTGGCAACCCGAGTAAGGATGCTTCCTCAGCGTTCCTATAGTCATAGTGCCAGTAAAGTTAGTTCCACATTGCCAATTGGCAGATCTGCCGTTTGTGCCTCGACCAGGAGATGCTCCAGCCTGTGAATCGGCACGGGAAGCAGCAGCGTTGTATAGTCGGGCGTCCCCACGACGCACATAATCATCTGTCCCGGTGTGCCAAAGACGCTGATTCCACCACGAAGGCGCATTCATTTCGGCGGCTTCATCTACGCTGCCGACGACTGCTGAAAGTTTGTTGCCAACCCTATGCGTTGTTGTCAATCGTCAACTCATTTGGCAACGCATTATATCCAAATGCCCAGATGCCTACCGGAAGATGGACTAAACACAAAACACAACAGACAGAGTATATATTGGGCCCAGGTAGCGTTCCCGGATTGGGCTTCAAAATCGCCAGCGATGACGAAGAATCGGTAAAGTAGGACTCATCTTACATCCACCACGGTCTTGGCCAATTCACGTCTCTATTCGGCGCCTGAGATGTGTCCATGTGGATCACACCGAATTGACTGTATGTTGGCTGACGTAACTGACATGATTGCTACGACTAACACTCAGCCGGCCGCACAGATAGTTGGCCAACTGGTGGCGTGTGAATTTTCAAGCCCGACCGTCATTGGGAGGGTATGATTGTGCGTAGACAATAGCGCGGATTTTAGGTGCATCTACCAGAGTGGCAAGTCAGTGATGCCCTTTAGCCTCCACGCATTGCTCTTATCACTTTGGCTCGGTTCATCAAAGTTACTAATAAGCTTGCCATATGTCCATCAAAATATGTCTATCACAGTACTCAGCTAGTCCAGCCTATAGACTATCCTCCAATAGACGCAGCTAACACAGTTTTCGCAGATATCTACAAATAGGCACAGCTATGTGGATATGACCAATTGTCAGTCTGGCCATGAGAATTATCAGATTGTCTTGATGCCTTCTTGCATCCCCTCCTCTTGTCTTGGCCCAACACAAGGCGTTATGCTTACAGACAACTAACACAAATATTTGTCTCTCTATGTTTGCTCTGACTGTGGCACTTTGTGTGACTATCTACCCCTGTAAGTATCTGTGTTTCTGCACCCTGGCCTGCTTGACCACTTTTTTCTGCCATCAACCTCATTCTTCTCTTCGGGTCTTCTATTCGTCTATTTCTTGATCCGACTTGTTTGTTGCCAGAATACCTATCCTTATTCAGGCGAGAGTACACATTATTTTTTGACTATGTTTGTGTTTGTGTGTCTATTCAACCGATAACGAACCAGCTTAGATGTCGTCTCAACTTTCTTTTTGATGTAACATTATGTACCCCCGTGCCCTTCCGTTGTGGTTGTGATGAAGTCACTCGCCTAGTCAATGAATATGGTGATCGAGCTGTAGGCCACACCAAGTTGATATTGCCTTTTGTTTGGACGCAGCCCCCTTTTGCTGTATAGTGGTGGTTTGACCTCGTTTTCGCAAATTGGTGGGACTGATTCAGTGACCTCGTAAAATGTACCTAGTCCTTCCTCCTCTGCCATACTACTCATGATGATTTCCAGCATCGGACCATTGACCTGGCACATTCACAGACTTTTC